TTTTGGAACTTTAACCAGCAAGCTGTACAAAGCGCGATCTCTCTTCCTTTCTCGCCCACTATCGAGAATGCGGCACACGCGTCATTTTTGTTTGCTCGTCGACTTAAGGGAAACGGCCTGATTCGTGTTGACGAACAAGATCATGACGATGTTTTATAAATTATTCATTATCAGTCCTCCCTTTCCCCGCGCATCCCCGCGTCTGCGACGAAAATTGCAGCGAAAGGCTGGCCGTGGGATATTGAAATCTCCTTCTTTTTTTTCTCTTTCTCTCTCTTTCTGTCTCTTTCACGCGTGTTATTATCAAGTGGAACATTGTTCGTCTCACGGCAGCGCCGTGGTAGAAAGAAACCACTTTGCATAACGCGAATACAAAAGACGTAATCGTCGCCTGGAAAAGTTGCTTAAAGGAATATACCCCGATCCCGTGCCGAAATTTTACGCGCCTCCGACCGCCGTAAAACCAATTACGGCCCCGTAGTACACTGTAATTTACACCGCTTGTGAGTGTGTGAGACCCCCGTCAAAGTTCCGTTGCTTCCCCGCCGTGTATCCCGATGTCGATCATGGTTCATCCGTTCTCCCGTTCTCGTTTTCGTGACGTTTGCCTGTCACGCTTCCAACACGGTCCGTTAACAGCCGATTCCTCCGCCTAATCCTCCTCCGGGAGGATTGCATGCGACGATGCGGGCAACGATATCGTCGGTGATCTCTACGAGCTAATATTCTCTGGACTAGACACTACCTTTCGTGCTTGCGACATTTGGTCCTTAACGACGCTACTTCTAAACTTCGCATGTCTATTTAGCACAACCTTGTCTCTTGGTACCACATTCCTCACTCTATGATTAACTCTCATATCAACAATATTGCAAACGGCAATGCATCCTCGAGTTATCCCGATATCCCACCTTTAGATGTCTCTTTCAGTAGTATTTACGTAGACGTAGATCAAGCATGACGTAGTACATGACACGTACGGTATATATTTCGGAATAGTCGGGACAGAAAATGGTTACGGGCTCTCTTCTCTCGGTGAGTACTTCGGGGTTCTGGAAGTATTCTTCTGTTGTAGGGATTACTGCTGCCGCTACGCTCAGGCAAGTTCAGAAGCACACCCCCGCTAAAGTAGTAAAGCGCTTGTGTGTCGCCAGATTAAAGTACGTAGGCGCACCTTAGAGTAACGTATGACTGTCACTTTTCTGCACTTCTGACGTGAGTATCTCGAAGTTTCACGGGCCTCGCTGCGCGAAACATACGCTCCAGAAACTCGCCCGAGGATATCGTTCGCCGAGAGAGGCGAACGTTGAACACGAAACCCGTTTTGCTTCTGGCGCTTCACGAGCAATGGGAAATATTCGTCCATCGCATATCGTTCTTCTGCTAAACGTCCGAAATATCGAAAATGTCTCTGTCAATGTGCTAAAAATGTGTTTATTCAATTTCGCACGTTATTCCGAAAGTAATAATTCTTTAGTATCATGATACTTGCATAATATATATCTACCTTATGAAATAACAATATATAACTAAATATTAAGTTAACGAAAAAAAAAATCTTTTTTCGTGCACAATCCATTTCATCTTTATCGATGCGTTAATGTTTTGCAGTGGCAGTAGTATCTCAAATTTGTGGCATCGTAGAAAAAATTAATGTTACGTAACTGGCGATGTGAAGTGAAATTAATCCTTAAATTTGTAATTTTTTTATATTGCGAATGACGAAACGCTCACGATATATTTCTAATTAAAAATAATAAGCTCTTCATTCCTGAACATTAATTTATTTGTTATATAAGATATTTCGTTTCACATCGCCGCTGCTATTATTTATTATAGTTTTTACGTTGAGTACGTATGTGTGTGTGTGTAATACGTTGTTGTAACGTAAATAAAGCATGTACACGTAAGCATGTGAGAAGCACATATATTCCACGTCGGCCGATTCTCAGCATCACGTTTTATTCGCACTGGATAATTATTACATCTGATAACATGACAGGACGTGTAATTCTCGAAAGAGAAAGTAGACTTAATTTTTGTACTAACTTTAACCATATTATAACTTCCCTTTGAGTCTCTTCCTTCTACGTTATCCCATACGGCACTAATCATATTTTTATTAACTGTACGAAATAACATTCCTTTTTTTAAGGCGATTAATTTTGAATTGCATATTCAAATTTGTTATTAACAGAATGTTTAAAACTGCTTCCCTTTAGGCTTTATTAATAATATATCGAGCATAATTAATACATCTGCTAGTAATACCATATTTTTTTAATAAAATAGCTTTCTTTTTTCCATTCGAATCTAACTCACTCGCGGTATTCTTACGTCAATCTTCTCGTTCTCTCGCTATCTGTATGAAACACAGTTTCAAATGATTTTCTATTTTATTTCAGAAATAAAAGCAAGGAAAAAGCATGCAGGTAAGAAATAATTCCTTTGGTGTCCGTATGTTTTAGTAGAGATTAACTTAGTGCATGAGAAATAAGCTAAATAGTCATTAACACCAGAGCATTAGCATCAATCTTCTTTTCGTCAAACTTACAGTTTTAATTAATCCCGCTTATAATCAATTTCAGTAATTTTATTATATTCGAGGAGTACTTTGTTCCCCCTTGTAATAGAATTAACATAGTTAAATAAAGATATAGAGATATACGCGAGCCTGTCGATCGGCTATATTCTTCCGCTATAAAAATTGCGTAATAAGTAAGACAGAGAGAATCGTAAGCGTCGTAACACAGCAATTGATTGAATATACAGAGAAAGATCTTGGTTTCCTACGAATTGGCTCATTGAACGTTCGCGTGAAGCGTACGACGGAGGCCTTCAGCCAATTCTTGGGTGTGGCAACCAGCAGTACAGCTAGCAACAACGAGAAGATTCATAAGTCCTGGGGATCCGCGGATAACGTTCAGGTATTATTCTCTTGGAAATTCAGCAACGTATCGCTTGAAACAAACGTATTGCAGCATTATAGCACATGTAATATATAAATTCCATAACGAAGAATGTATCTAACTTTCTTTAAGAATTAAACTTCCTTAAACGCTACAATTTTATGAAGTTACAAGATCAATGATAATTAAATGACATACAAATTCATCGCCAAGTTATTTTAGAATTATACAAATCTAATAAAAAGTATATAAACATAATAATACAAATATATAATTACGCAAATTCAATAAAAATATATAGATAGAATCACCATAGGTATTCCCATCAACGCATGGGAGGCAAACACGCAAACATAGAATTAATAGATTCATCAGCACTTGATAACAGGACTCGTTATTGTTCATTCTAATATCTCATGTATCCCGTGACGTTTCTCGTCGCAAGCTGGAACACAAGTTGATGCCTCCGCCGAAGTACGCGCCCATCAAGAAGCGCAGGAGCAGACGGCCGCAGGATTTCGGTGCGTCGCAGGAACAGCAGCAGGTCACCAGCCAGCCGACTACCCCGTTGTTGCAGGGAAAGATTATCCGTCCGAACCGAGCCATCCAGCGTCGACCGACGTCCACGGCGTCGGTCAGCTCCAGCTCCATCGCGTCCGGCGGCGCCCAGCAGAACGGCGATTCCGACTCCGATACGGCGTGCGGTTTCGATTCCGCGTGGCGGGGATCCGCCCAATTGTAACTAATCCCCCAATTCGTCACTTCAGACACCATTGTTGCTGCATGTTTAGTCTGACTGCACGAAGCAGTTCTTCAGTTCTGAGCAACTCCGAAAGATCGGCGGTAGCTCTGGGAGTTCTTTCAAAATGGCGATGGAAGTGAAGACCTACTTGGAGGATTTTTACAATTGCCCGCGTTAATGATTCTTGTCGATACAAGGAATGATTCATAAAAGATAATTTTTTTGATGAATTTTTTCGAACTCTTAAACTTGTTCATTTTGTGAAATTTATTTGTTTTATTTTATAAGAGAGAGTCTGGTCTAACCCAAGGATTGCGGTTACTTGAGATATAATTCTTTCACGAAAATTTTGTCACCTGAATTACACAAACACAAATCTCGTTTTCTTTAATAAGTTTATTCAATATTTAAGATTTTGATATTTATATAAAGGATTTTATATTTGGCATCGTATTATCACTTTTCTTATTTCAGCTAGCATACATCAATTTGATTTCAAATATATTTTGTATATAAAAATAATCATATATTTTTTATATATTTATATTTATATATAAAAATATTTGTTATAAGTTGCAGAGCGTAAAGTTAAGGATTGTTTAATATTTGAATGCGCTTATCTGCTGTAAAATATTAAATCGCGAAGTAGATTTTAAATTTATAATACAAATCCTTTTATACTTCTCAAGATACGTATGCAGTTTTTAACTTTGCATTCACGATCTTGTTGTATATACATTAACATAAATATCGTATGCATAAAAGCTTTAGACAATTCGGCGCTCATTGTATGATAATCAATGCTTAAAGCTTATTTCATTAAATTTTCTATCTTGCTAAATAGGACATTTTTCGCCGCATATTTTATACAATAAAAAACATTAATAATTATAAAATACATCGTTAAGCGTATAAGAAGTTATTATTTATATCACTTTATATAATTCAATAAACATCACATTTGAGATTGAAATACTGATATTGAAATATTTTAGTTCCTATGATCTCCGAAAAATATATTTTTAAATATATATATATATATATATATATATATATACACACACACACTACACACACACACACACACACACACACACATTATAAATATTCAATTACCGTTGTGTGTTCCATCTGTTCTATAATTTTACAATTGATTTTGTAATTCTTCTTTTATTGATTCTCTAGTTAATTCTATAATTCTGTAATTAACTCTAGTTTTATAATGGATATTTTATAAACTTACTTATATAGTTCTATAATTAATTTCATTTAATAATCAATTATTTAGTGCTCATCCATTTTGCAATAAATTGTTAGAATGGTTTCAGATAATATAATTTTAGTCGTTCTATAATAATAATATAATCCATTTATTGGCTAAATAATAAAATACTGTATCTCAGCTAATATAAATGTTATATAATATAAATGTAATATTTATATATATGTTATATAGGAGATATATTGAGGTTTGTGAGTATACAGCATATATTTTACAAGATTTTTCTGAAATTTATTACAACTACAACAATTTATGTAGATATTGCAAATATTAGAAATATAATGCTCTTTTATTTCAATATACCATTTCATTCGTTTTATTTTTTTTCACTTTTTTTTTCATTTCAGAAAGGAAAAAGAGTACACAGGATATTGGGCATAAGTCCATCCAGCCCATCTAAACTACTAAAAAATATTTATATAAAAATATTTAACCTAAGATTAATCTAAAAGTAAAAATACAAAATCGACTGTCTTAATTTGAACATTCGTTCTATATCTATGATATATATTCTGGCGACATCTTTGCAAGATTAAGAGAAGCTTTATTTTACAACTCAAGGAATAAACTATTGTACTCTCCTCGGGTAAAGCTTTTGTATTTTAAACGCTAGATGGATGCACATCTTGTAGGCTATAGAAACGTGTGGAGCAGACGCTGAGCAATTTGGAGTTGTCATCAGTAAACACATGTGCTTAGATGTTTTCTACTTGTTCCTTTCTCTCAAGTCAGATTAATGATTAACGATTAAATAGTTTTTCATCGAACGATTCTATTCCCACATCTTGAATGTACGAAAAAGATGTATGATATATGCCACCCCAGCGTGAGTAACCGCATTTTATTTGAATAACCAAGAAAAAGAGATAATTTTATAAAGAGACATTTCTATCAATATAAAGTAATCTCGGTTTAATTTACTCTTTCTCTAATTCTTGGAACGAAGACAAAATAAATAAATCAAAGTGAAATTTAAAATGTGAAATTATTTTGCAAATTCAATATATGTTTACAGTATTATCATCTGTGCAAACTCGGCTGTAATGACCCGATAAAGACAAGTACCGCTTTTTATGTCTACATTGAAATATGCGAAGGTACTATACTCAATTTCATTGAGTAGTAAATACACATTTTATTATTGTAATGATTTTCAGTAAGGCGATACTGGGATGTTACGTATAAGTACAACCAGGAACTTGATTTGATCTACTTCGAAGTAAAGAAAAAGAAATGTTCTCCATTGGAGATTTATGTACCTTGGCCAACCAAATATACCATTAGCATTGACAAAATTGAGAAAATGCAACAGTTATTGCAAAATGAACGGTAATTCTACAATTTTACTTCATATACAATATACACTTCTTATATTTATTTCTAATATATTTTTAAACGTTTTCATTAATTGGGATATGGGATATATACATCTATTAAACAAATTACATTTAACAGATTGACAATCGTATTAAAATTTGAAGACAGTAGCAGCATTTTTTATACAGTAACTACTGGCCTCTTGAAACCAGCAACACCAGAAGCGAGTAAACAACAGAAAGAAAAAGTAGAAAAGATACTTAATTTGGAAAGTGAAATCCAACGGAATACGTTACACTTATATGAATTAGCAAAGACTTTAGCTTCTACTCGTGAAACTAGTGATCAAACTTGCAATTCCAATTTGGGTGCTACTGTAGAATCATCAAGTCTTGATTCCAGTTTAGAGATATTATGATAATTTTCTTTTATTTAATATATAATTTTGATATAATATATGTCTGCTTTGTATATCTTGGTATTTATCTCTTTTTAATACACGCCTTACAGCTTATGTATGAAACATTCAACTAAACATATACTGATTCATTGAAAACAAATTTTATAATTAAAGCTTTTATTGAGCCTAGTAAAATAATTTTGATAACGAAAGTAAAATGTATTGGAAGAGGTATATTTAAACATAAGGATATATTTTTAATATTTATTTTTTAAAGTAATTCACATATAATGCGGATTTTGAGAATATTTGTAAGGATTGCATAATTGTTTAAGTGATATGTGATAAGCTGCCACTGCAAATATATATGAATTAAATAAATTAATTCTTAAAAATGTTCATCTCTAGTCATATATTATTAGTAGACACTACAAAATACGAGGCACATAAATTTCCTTATTATAAAAATTAATGATAAATATAGCGAACATTTTAATCAAACTTATATCTAGTAATTGCTATGTAATTATGTTATTATATATAAAAAGATATGTGTAACGAAATAATCTAATAAAAAAATCTTTATGAATCAAGAGTAGATCTATCTACAAAACATCGTAGGATGTTTGTATATATGTACATAAAATTTGTAATTTATATTTTTGATGATATATATATTTCACAAAATCATTAAATAATTTATAATTTCTTTCTGCAAAAAGCTGCGTGTAATATCAGTGGAAAAAGTAATTTGTTCACGCGGGATTTGTTCACGGCGTCTTATGTGTATAAAATTACACGTACATTATCAAACGTAAAGTAGAAAATGGTATTATTTGACATAAAAATATTTTCATCGTTCAAAATCGTTCATAAAGTTCGGCAGTTGAAGGTAGCATAAAAAGAATGATACTGCTTCGCTTTTTTCTGCTATACAACATATAAAAAATATAAATTAAACAGGCATGAATCTAGAAACTAACTTTGTTTTTATGAAATAATTCGATTAATGAAAAGTTTAGGTCTTCCCCCCTCTCGCGCGAGGAAGGCGAAACTTAAACTATGTCAAATGATCATGTTGCACAAATTATATTTCATAAATCATATTTTTCTTTGCCTGTTTTACTAATGCGTTTTATCGCGCGAATTTTCATGAATTTTATATTCTTTATTTTAGAATTTTATTATGTAAAAAGATCAGATTTCCAAATTTATATATGTTAATCGAAAACAGGCACGTTGAAAATTATTCACATTGTTCAAATTATCTTCCACTGTTGTATGGTACGTTTCAAGATCGATCCGAAAATATTTTAGGATTACCTAAAATATTTGGTTTTACAGATCTGATCATTCGTGTTTAAGATAATAAAAATAGATTACCCAAAAAATGGGTTATAATATATATATATATATATATATATATATATATATATATATATATATGTAAGTACAGTAGTAATACTAGTAGTAGTACGTACGTATACTTACTACTACTATATATATATAATAATAACTAAGTAGTATATATATATATATATATATATATATATATATATATATCAATTTATAATTGCAGTAAGGCAACTAGATCTCGAGAGGTACTCGATCTATCACTAATGACAGATAATTTTTCACGATTATGTCCGATATTAAAAAGTTTCACTAGTAATTCTAATTATTACATATTTTACGCCTTGATAATATTAAATGAGTGGTATTACAAACAAAAACTTGGTAGATCTCATTGATGGGATTTCAACAGAATTCCAGCAATCAGCATTTACAATCGATTTAATTGCATTTTTAATTCTTTCATGATTCATATATCTATGTATATTCACTATATGAATCTGAAATAAAATTAAATAAACTGTACCATAATCAACTTATATGAAATTTATCAAGTTCTAGTTGTAATATCTCTTCTCACTTGTATTATTATAAAGTTCATAATTCAAACTTTAGTTTCAATTCTAAGACGTATATATAGAGAAAAAACAGATCGAAAGGAGATATATACATATCGGATTATCTCCGCTTCTTACTATAATACCCAAAAAATTTTCTAGTTCTATTGCAGATTATATATCAAAAATTGTTCAATTATCGCAGGCACCTTTTAAGAGATGGGAGAGCAAAGTATACCATGGGTTACATTTAGATTGTGATTATGGAAGTTCCAGAAAATCCTATAAGGATTAATGATTAAATATTAAAAATTACATATACAGCAGCAATAAAGAAAGAGGAGCTCTGCAATAAAGAAAATTAATTTAAAAGCTTTTCACAAAATCTAACTACTTCAATGTTACACAGCTTTCAGATCATTCTCTGCAAAATTAAAACCAAGTCTTAAAAAATGTTCAAGTATATTCGTAGTAAAACGTAAACGAGCCTTATACAATATTTATATATAATTTATATAATTTTGTTGCAAAGTTAATTAAAATTGATCGTATAATACTACATCAAGAGCTATTAAACATAGAAATATCATTCATTATTATTCTCTCGACACATTTGATTATATATTTATATATACATAATATGGAGCACATGAACTAGTAAAAGTAAAGTACTTTATAAATTATAATATAAATGTACAGAATTAAATGAAATATAGCAAACATAATTGGGATATATGTTAAACAAACCTAAAGGACTGATATATGATATTAATGTGTTGCTTCACATGATGTTGTAGGGTTCGTATGTCTAACGTCACCGTAATCTTGCAAAATTAGCTATACACGGATGGATTAAATTTTCAATTATCATAACGGATGATATATGATTAGTTTAACTAAAGCGCTAAATGCGATCGTTACTGACGATCGTTTATGATTGTTGCACATACATAGCGCCATTTCAATTTCAATTCTTTATCACATGAGCATGAGCAAGTATAGCTACATTTTGATTTACGTTATGCTTTCTTATAAATGTTAATATTGTTTATATGATTATCCTTTAAGTTCTACAAGGATATAAAAATCTTTGAATAATTGCATGTTACTGTACATAATAACGGTATATAGATAACGAAATGTTGAAAATAATATATATCTTCACGCAAAAGGATATCCGTACATATTTAATACTAACAGGACAATGTTTGGAGATCACTTCTGCAAATGTTATCTAAAATTATTCTCATTTATATCCGGAAAAAAACTTTTTTATCGAAAAATTAATAGGCTTCATCACTTTTTTTTGCTTGATAATTGATCGGAACAGTGTAATTTTTAAGGATATGTCAATCATGAACGTACTCTTACATGTTTTATTGATTCAATAATCATATGAACAGACTTATTCAGACTTATTCAATATATGTTGCTTTATATCAAATTAGAAGTTGGAAATTCATATATACCCAGCTTGTTAAAAATGTGCAACTTGTCAACATCAGCGAAAAAGAGATTCGAAAAAATAAATTTTTTAATGAAAAGAATTTTTTGGAGCGAAATTCGCGCGTATGATTAATTAATGAACATTGATGAATTTTCTTCGAAAATTATTACTTTTTGCATTATTACTTTTTCAAAAGCGCATAAATTGATAATAGTTTATTATATACGTTTTCAAATCATTCTGTTTTATCAGAAGATTTGTAGACTGAAACAAAAAAAAAAATATATCTTAAAAATCAGAAAGTACCAAAAAATCTTGCAATTATAGCGCCTCAAAAATAAGTTAGTGTTAAGATTAAAACGGAAGACCCTCAAAAAGGCAAGTTTTTAATGCAATGAAAAATCCATCTATAATTCATCAAACAAAACCCTCCCCAAAATGACCCGACAAAGGTTACAATATTGGTAATTGGAATGTCTATGCATAAAATTAATCCTCATGCAATTTATGTCATCAGAAGCGATCGAAGTAAGTAGATTCAATTTAACCGATATTATCACATTGCAAAAAGTGATAAGTTTATACTGTTATGTTTTGATTTAGAATTGTAAATTTTAAGTCCAAATTTAGACAATAAACAAAAAAGACCAAGAGACCTATCGTTAAAAAATTCTTTTACTATTTCCGAATCTCCGCACTGAAAGGATCAAACTATATCAAGAAAGAACATCAGTTTTCAAATTTTTTACTTCTCTTAATATTATTGATCGACATGATGAATACGAATAACCATAAAAATTCACAAGCTATACGAAGAAATACCTTGTTTCGGGATCTGTAACAAAATCATTTATCGGTAAGCACTCGAGCACCACGAGTATATCTGTTGGCATTATAATCTGAGAATTTAATATTAAACGGAAAATTTTGAAATTTTTATCCTCTTAACAATCGCCATAACGAAAGAAATCTAGCATACAAAAATGACGTAATCTCAGATGTTTCCCAAAATTCAAACACAGACATAGATTTTGTCATATTATCTAGCCTAAGCTAAGATCTTCGAAGCGCCTTCAATTAATTTCTCGATATCTGAACCTGAATCGATCATGTAAACGACCATCAACAATTTCTCTCCGATTTTTCTGATTATATTCGAGAAGTTACATGAAATATTAGTCACCAGTTTCATTAACGATCTCGATTTGTGAAGCTGCACTCATATACACTCCACAACTTTGGTTAAAGAATTTCTCTTGTAAATGTGTCTACTGCATTAATATAGTATCCAAAATAAAAAAAATCTATACATGATGTATAATAATGTATGATGTACATTGCTCGAATAAACGAACACGTATGCAAATACCGTAGTTGCGTATGTAAATTGATAGTACGAAAAACAACTTTTTCTTCAATTATACCAATATTTCCCTATCAAGGGATATCAATTGTTGCGGCTAGCACCAATCAGCCATATAAGTAAAGTCCTTGAACAAACTTTGCTCTAGGTCACTAAGAGGCCGAGGATCTTTCGGAGGTGTTAATTGTGGCTTCTCCGATGTAAATTCTTCATCAAAATTACTTACATCTTCCACTGAGTGCTAACAAAAAGAAAAAAAAACCATTTCTATGCAAGAAAATATTACATTTGAAAAGAATTTAATTCCAATATCCAATATTTAAAAAGATTATTCATTTTAACAAATATCTTATATGCCCAAATTTCATATATCAATACATTGAACTTACGATTACTGGTACAAAAGGTGGTTTCACACGTCTTAAGAGTAAATCATCCCAAGCTATATGTCTGAAAAATGCTTGTTTTTTAACATCTTCGGCATCTCTTTCACTGCTACCTAATCTCCTGTCCGGATTTTTTCTAAGTAACTGTTACAGAAAATATACAAAGATAAGTTCTATGTTAAAAAAAAAACAGGAAAAACAGGAAAATAATAAAATAAAAAATACTTACTCTTCTCATAATAGCAATTGCTTCCAAAGAAAGGAATCTTGGATATCGTACTTCGTCATTTACAATAGAGTCAAAAACTTCTTCTTCATCATCACCTGGAAAAGGGGACTGAAAAAATTTTTAATTAATATTTATATAATTAAAATGGGTTTTGTATTTTACAAGCAGTATATAAAATTACCTCTCCAACCAGCATTTCAAATATTAAGACTCCAAGACCCCACCAGTCTACAGCTCGCGTATAAGAAGTCTCTGTCAATACTTCGGGCGCTAAGAACTCAGGAGTACCGCAGAAAGTACCTGTTCTATCTCCAAATCCCATACCTTCTTTACATAAACCGAAATCTGCGATTTTAACATAACCTTCTGTATCTAACAGCAGATTATCTAACTTCAAGTCTCTGTAAATATATCGTAAAATATATTACTGAATTATTTAATGCAACATGTTATATTAGTTGAGAAATATACCTGTAAATAATGCGATTTTCATGCAAATATTGTAATCCAAGAACGACACAAGCAGAATAGAATACAGTACGTGGCTCCCCAAAAACATCAGCATGTATATGCATCATAAGATCACCACCAGCTGCGTATTCCATCACAAAACATACATGCGCCTAAAGAATTCATTTTTCTTATTTCCTTTTATCTTGAAAATTGTATTAAAGACACTAGAAAGAAAGATTATTGTCTGTGTGTATACCTCTGTTTGAAAACACGCAAATAAATTAACAAGAAAAGGATGGCGCGTCGTGTTTGCTACTTCGAATATTCTCTTTTCAGAAAGCAATGATTCCACTTCATCTCTAGCTATGATATCTCCTTTTTTTAAGGCCTTAATTGCAAAGTATTCTCCAGTGTTTCTGTATTGCGACAGTATCACTTTGCCGAAATGTCCACGACCGAGTACGGAAAGTAGTCTAAAGTTCTCCAGAGTCATACCAGTAAGTTGAGAATGTCTTCTTGATTCATAAGCACTATCTCTATATTGAAGAGGTCTGATTGGCATTTCATATATCTGAAAAACAGATAGTTCAAGTTGTAATAATTTATACATAAATATATATTGTATAATTATAATTATTATGAAGTTAAATATATTAATAATTTTTATTATATAAAGAGTTATATTATTTATTATGTTAGTATATCGTAAAAATACAATATTTCAAATATGTTGTAGACAACATGAAGGGTTATGCTGTAATATTTTAATTATTAAATTTTCCGTATAGCTAGTTACTACTTTTTATGTATATTTTTGTAGTATATAATTAAAAATACATAGATGAGAGTTAAAGAAAAAGTAAAAATTAGTAAAAGATAAATGTGTAAGATAATTTATAAAAATAAAAATAAGATAGCTTATACAGAATAAGATAAAAGAATTAAAAAAATTATTTCTCTAGAATTTGCATGCAACATATTAAAGCAAGCAAAGCAATGTTGTGTGTATGTGGAGGGTATGTACCTCATCCTCAGGAAACTCGACGACAGGTTGGGGCGAGGGTGTGCGTGGAGAGGGTGGTGCAATCAGCACAGGGCGGGGCTCTGTCACGAGGGGCCTTAAATTGGCACCCTGAGGCCCGCCCTTTTCCTCGTTGTGCAGAAAATCAAATTCCCTTAATGCACTCTGTAACTACATTTCTACCTTTTTATCTCTAATATTGCTTGATTAAAATTGCAATAGATCTCGCACCGAAATTGTTTAAACATGCATTATTGTATAATTAATATGTAATATATATAGATTTCAAAATATATTCACTTTTCAAATATATATTCGCAATCATGTAATGACTTATAATTTAGCATATGTCATAATAGAAAGTTTGGACTTTTTATTTTTTAAAAAAATTTTAAAAATCGTAAAAAATATTAATAAGTTAAATTATATGTATATTGCTATAATATTGTGCAAGAAAACAAAATTATACTTTTTGAGAAAATAATTAAAATGACATAAATGCCAAAAAATATCTACTAAAGAGATATTTCCTCTTATTAAAGAAATTAAGTGTAATGTCTACAAGATTTTCTTTGTAAGCAAGTGCAAATTAAACTAATACTACTTTTCTTATAATTGCAAAAATATATAATATAGCTATATATAACATGCCGCATCAGTATATATATATATATATATATATATATATATATATATATATATATATATATATATACATTTATTTTAGAATTATAATTTTTTAGAAAATAAAATTACTTATATATTATACATTTGATAAATTATTTTAACCCATAACCAAGATTCCCAGCCTTGATATTCTAATATATATTATCATAATCTCCTTATAAAATAATTAGAAATAGAAATCATATCAAAGAGATAATATACGAGTATAATAAATTATCAATATGATACTAAAAAAAATTCCATATATATGTCATATAACAGCATAAACCTATGATTATGTAACGGTTTGCGACATTAGCATTCTTATATTTTTACATCTAAAGCAGAGATTGACGAAGACGTATAATGCAATAAACAGTATTTATAACAAATAACATTGTCACATATCAATATGTAAATTTTTTTATTTAAAAATGATATATTAGAATATATATGAAAAAACTTACCTCTTGATCCAATTTTGGAGGTGGCGCAGGTGCAGGTATAGAAGGTTTCTTTGTTACAGTTGGTGGCGGTGGAGGAGGATGCTCCGGAGGACGTGGCAAAGTCGGACTACTAGTCGATGTTGACATACCTAAAGGCCGTGCGCCACCCAATCCACCTTTCTCTGGATCGGGAACCTCGCCAGGAGTTTCAGGCTTATCTTCTACTGAGGTATCAAACACAAGTTGCAGTGGTTGTGGTCCTGCAAACCAAACTGTATAAAATACTATCGCAAGACTTTTTTATTTTATGTTACGAATTTAAGTCTTTACCTGACGGCGGACTTTCCGAATTCCTGGAATTGTGCAATGAAGGCGCTGAACGTTTAAGTAATCTACCCCAAGTCGCAACATTTATGTTCATTTGATTCGCTCTTGGGAAATTTTTCACTTGCTGCTTAAAAATCTTACGTTGACGCTGTAATTTAGGCTTTCGCGATATCATTGGATTCAGGAATTTTATTTCCGCGAATAGGAGGCCTTGTGGTTCTAACTGTAGAGCCATACCGTGTCGAACATCGTCAATAAACTCTTCTAAACGTAAAAATTTTACCGCGCAAAGAGATCTCCAATCTTTCCAATAAATGCCTATCTCAAGTTCTCTTGATTTATCTAGTTCAATAGAAAACCTAAAAATTTTTATTCAACACATTAGATACAATGTAAACAAAATTGAATTATATGATATAACCATTATTTAATATTACATTAATATTACCTTTGGTCCCAAGCTTGTTGGGAACATGGACGCCAACTAGTTTGTCCTACGGTTTGGTTATCTAATTTTATAACTGCCATAATATCATCTGAAAACAATGATAATTAGTGACTAATTCAGATGTATTAAAATTATTCTTAAAATGCTTAAAAACTTACTGCTCGTTTCATCTTTTACGCTATATGACTTGCTTGAGCTGCGTCCTGTGACACCCTTAACAAAGCTACGTAAATCAGGACTAGCAGGATGTTCCCGTCTCGTACGCCCAGGCACTTCTTCTGCTAAGTCTTGACATCCCATTAATCTTACCTAAACACATTGTAACAGTGTAATATAAAAAAATAATATCGTGTGACTTGTCTTATCTTATTTTTATAACATACCTCTAATTGTCCTGTAACAGCAGCGCATCTTGATACTGAAGCTGGTACGGTGGCTTTACCCTCCAAGGGACCGCGGAACGGTTGTAATGATGTGTAAGTAACAGGAACTGGACTAGCCGATTGTACGCTAGCTAATTCTCTTTTTAACTGAACTGCAGTACCGCTGTCTGGAGGTAACTCTTGCCTTCTAAGCTCGAGGGACAATCTGAGTAAGTCCAATTTTCTACTGGATTCTGCAAGGCTTGCTTGAGCCTGTATAGTAATTTATGATTTATGTAATAACACGCAATTCCAAGATATTTTATGTAATGCTAGTTTGTAAACAGGGAATTATATATATATATATATATGTAGGTACCCAAATAACGTGCGACATAATATTTATTAACAGTACAATCAGTATAATACATCTTTGTTAATTTTTATAAATGCTCAATTTTCAGCAGAATGTGTTTAGCAGCCCTCATAATAATTAATTTAGATAAAAAAAACTATATACAACATAGGGTAAATGGAATATTTTAAGAAATATAAATTAAGCACACAAATCACAATATACAAATTTGCAATGTTCTCAATCGCCATAATCGCAATGGAACACAATTAATTTTTTATACGCATACAAATCTTACAATATAAATAAATAAAATGGAAAGCTTTGTCATCTTGTAAGAACTAAATAATCAATATATTATTTAAAATATCCAGAATTAAAATCAAATATCACTCTTTTCGCGATTTGAATGCCGGATGACATTCGAGTTCGCTCAACGAAGAGGACCGTCCTCTCCCTTCACCCTCGAAATATCTTCGACAATGTTCGCACGAACACGTTGGATTTTTCGAAGGACCTATATGATGCCCGGGCTTTCGAAACGCGTTAACTACTGCTCCAAATTTTGAAGCTTTTATGATATGATCAGTTCTTTCTCCATATGACGTAGCGAAGGGAGATGTTACGCGGGAGGGTATGGTCGAAGGGAGAGGAGACGGGCTCTTCGATCCAAACGGACCGATACGATCGCGTAGAATATTCGAATATGGAACATAATCTCTGCGTATCTCTGCGGACTCAGAGCGTTCCTCTTGAGCGTTTCTATCCTCCGAATTTAAATTAGCTGCATTAGATTCCTCCATTTGACCCTTGTTCGTACGACGGCTAGAATCTGCTTTAACAAGTCGTGATTTGTCATCGCCGGACACAAAACTCCAACCGACTGCTTCGTTCTCGTCGGAATCACTCTCTCCAGACGACCAACCTATTTCGTGTTTCTCAAAGTACTCCCTCATTTTTCTGTTTTGTAGTAGATGCTTTCGTTCAATTTGCGGCGATCGCCAGGTCTTGTTCCTCTCATTATCAGCTTTCGCTAAAATGTCCATTCTCCGTATTCTATCACGATCTGCGGTATTGGCGTATTCGAAACTGTCGCAAGGAGTCAAGCCAGATTTACTATTGATCAAGGACTCTATATCCGAGAACGTATCCTTTGACGATGTCATGGTCGTCGAGTCGTAATCGCACGGCGAAAGAGCCGTGCTAGATGACATCGCGGAGCACGGGAGAGAATCGAGGTCTCGTATCCCGCTGTACGAGCTAAATCGCGAGGGGTAAAGGGAACTCAGAACCTCATCGCTGTCGTACCCCTTTGAGCTCGCCAACGAAGGCAGTCTCATCGGTGCGTTTCTGAAACTCGCGCATCGTCGCTCGGCGCTGCGCTTCAGAAACGCATTCGCGTCTTGAAATCCTCGCGGCAAGTTGTCCGCCGCTTGAGTGTGAGTGACTTTGACGTCCTCGTTCTCGAAGACGGTCATGGGCGTACTGCGTTCGTCCTCGCTGATCGTGTCCGTGCTGGCGTCGTCGGATCCCGTGCAGTACACGTCGATATGTACCGTACGCGACTTACGCTTGCTGCCGTCTTCTTTCGTGGATGAATCCGACTTTTCTGGCTCAACCGTAGGATCGTTACTGGTGTTTCCAACTGACGGTGGGGGCGAACGAATTTCCTGCTGAAAAAAACATAACCATGCCATTCGAGATTCGTGATAAATTCTGTTGTCAATATCATTAAATCCGTATCGACGATATTTACCTCCTTTTTTTCTGCTCGCTACGTTGATAGACACCAGTGCTAGGTTTTCTCTTGATTTTGTTGCTCTTCACGGTTGACGACGAACGCACCGATTCGATATCGGTGGTTTGCGATGCCGCGTCCTTACTTATCGCGGTGCTCCGACTATTTGTGGTCTTTTCGGTGACGCGAGTGCAAAAGTGTGTAGTGAAGGCACTAGACGTACTTCCCTCCGCGCAGTCCTCGCAGACTTCCGGAACTGTGCTGAATTGGTGACGCGAGAAGATATGTTGGTACGAGGGTCGACGGTACCACTGATCGACGAACGGGATCTTCGAGGACTCAGTAGACGTAGTGACTTTCTCAGGGTTCGACTTATCCGCGCCCGCGGTGGAGAGCACGATGTTGCACGTGCTCTTGCATCGGCGATTGTACTGTTGGGACGAGCGCCGCGTGGGCAGGCTCGAATACGTCTGCGGCGTGAACTGTTCGCTGTTGTAGCCGGAATCAGAAACGTTCGTTCGACCTCTGGACGAGACGGAGTCGTCATTACCGGACGAGCCCGAGCGCGGTAGGGTGTAAGACTCGCCTGATCTCTGGGGCGGCGATCTTTGGGGCGGCGTGGACGTAAAGAGTATATTGCCCCGTTGAAATCCGAAGCCGCCGGGGACGCAACCCGACGACGGGAACGCGTTGGACGTCGCGGCGGCTGGCGCCGTTATCGGCGTCGGCGTCGAGCTCGGCTCGCTCGTATTCCAGCGGCATATCATGCGGATACCGCCCGCGTCGGTGGTGGTGGTGGTGGTGCCCGGAGGCATTTGCACGGTCTCGGAGGTCACCGCGTCACCGTGGCGAATCGTGACTTCGGCGCGCACGAGCCACGGTGGCACCTGGCTCGAGCTACCGTCGCCCGAATTATCCTGACGTCCATACATCTTGTGCCCCTCTTTCCCCTCAGCCTCCGCCGTGACTTCATCCACCACCGCACGACATTATTGTTATCCAATCGGCTCTGCTGCCAGAAGAACACGTCCGAACGGTCTGCCCTCTCCACCTCCGTACCGAGCAGACGATGATGCGTTTCTCTCGTCCGTATTCTCCTTCTGTTCATGGATTTCAAGTCTCTCTCTCTCTCTCTCTCTCTCTCTCTCTCTCTCTCTCTCTTTCCTCGAACGTATATAAAACGCCGGGAATCACGCGCAATATCCGCGTCTGCTCATCCGATTCCTCATCCAATTCCGTAATATATTTAAAAAAGATCTTATATAATGATGACTATTTGAAAGTCTATTTGAGCCACTTGCTTCACAATTTCGTCCGTGGCGCAGTTTTTCCCGGAAGGATGGTAATACCGCGGTATTGCATCGCCACCGATCTATTTTCGGGTTCTCGTATATATTCGAGAACTATCCGAGTGCGTTTCTTTTCGCTTTAACGTCGCAAAATTTCAGCGCCGATGTTTGTAAGAAATTTCAACTCGATATGACAGCGAAACTGTCGCTTCGTAATTCGATTATTTTCCACCGTATTAAATATTTTCCTCATATAAAATCGCGTAAGACGGCTGTTTACGATTTGTCAATCATTGCGTATCGCACAATACTTCCGCAATTGTTGCAATCACCGCGATTTTCATCTCTCGAAGGTAACAAGCAATATAAACTGAGCAATATAAAACGATGTGTATAATTAGCAATATACATTTGGAATAACGTACAGTCGCACTAAAAATTTATCTGGAATAAGATGGTTCTTTTCATAAGATCGACGGCCACCGCACGCGATTATAATAATTGAGCATAGTAATGATTTACGATCAGGCGGAAAGTGTGCCGCGATATGAAAATCGGAGTATCGTATTACTCTACTAAAATCCCAATTGTAGCTTTGGTATTTCAGTCTCAATAATCGCTGGCAGTCGAGAGCGTTCGAAATATCTTATATGAGCGTGAAATTATTTAGCACGTATGATCTAAAAGGCAACGGATCAATTATCTCCGAGTGACTCGTATACGTTACACAAGTCCAAGCATCCAGGGATCAAACGAGATTCAAACTTCCGCCAAATAACGGATTGTTGTTTATGGCTCGGTCAGAGACGTTTGAGCGTCCAGTTAGTATACAAGTGTCCTGACGGCTTAAGTCGAAGTCTGAGGCAGACGTCAGTCTTTTTTGGAGCGCGGCTCGTTCGAGAAGAGAGCGGGCGAAGCGACTCCAAACGGGCTACGTCCGTGGGCGGCTTCGTGTCAGTCTTTGGATTCAGATCATAATTAACAGCCACGATTATCCGAGCGCGTGGTCGATATCCTCTTCGATGTCCACTTGACGGACGTATACAATCCACGGGCGCCTCCTTCGCAGTCCGCCGTCGTGCACATGTCGTCGGTTTATCGCGGTGCTTACGATACTGGGTGATGCCAGTTCTCCTCGGGAGATGGTAACTAAGCGCGACCCGAAAAGGCGTCACGAGAAACGGCGGGGTGGCGCGGGTATTCGGAGAGCTATTTTAAGAAAGACGCGTACACGCGCCGCCACACCGACCCTCCGAAGTCACGTCGACGTGCATTACGCCGCCCGCGACGTCGCCCGCGCGCGATCCGGCTGTCGACAAGAAGTTATCGTACCGGTGGCGGACGCACCCGAACATCTCCGCCAAAGTTACATTTATTATCACTCGCGCACGAGATCGGTCTCCAATAATAATTCTTAAAAGCTGTTATATCAACGAATGTAAAAAAAATATTTTCCTAATTAATTAGCTCATAACAGCTTGACAATTTTATAAAAAACATTTGATTTAGAGAGAGATAACAATTCCTTTTGATTTAGCGAATAATAAAAATAATGAGATATATTCTCACACATGATGTTTGTCACGTGTAAAAAAAAAGGCTTCGTCTTATTACGCTAAAAATGGAAATTACCCGCGCATTGTATGATATTTTCACCGAAGAGGTGAAGTCGGACAATTTCCATGTTATTATCATTTCGAAACAGCTCTGTCGGCAAAGTAACGTAAATGGCTTCCTTTAACACAACATATATAAATGTCTTTCGCAGATTGCGTGTCACGCGCAGACTCCCGCTTCCGCTTTTATATTGACGGGTAGCAAATTAGAAAAGAAATGATTACCTACCTCCGTTAAGGCCTTCTTATCAGCAACTTTGGAACTTTGTAGAAGACGTATCACGTTCTTGGCACCTTCTACGACAGCTGCCTCTATTCGTAGTCGATGCCGCAGCTCTTCCACCCTTTCCTCCAACGCGAGCTCCAAGCTAGGCTCGTACCTGTCTATAAAAATATTACATTTATTATTACACATTACATTCGATAAAAAGAACACATTCGCAACGCTGAATATTACTTGTGCAAAGCTTTCATTTATCAAAGGCGTGTGATTATCTTCTTACATAACGTATGTATCAACCCACGCTTTATACCGGGAAAAAGTAAATCATTAAACGCGTAACGTATGTATCCTTCGACGAACAAAGCGCTTCCTTCCAAGAAACGCGGCATTTACTACAATAACAGACATACTACGCAACATTGTAGTTTTATATCGAATACACGGCACAAATTCCTGAGTGAGATATGAATGCGCGACTGGGTTCTGAAACAGTTTCATTACCGCAGTAAATGTCAGCCTGCTGTCTTCATTCCGTAAACTTCACGTTAACAATGAGATGTATACAGCTTAACTACGGTCGTTCAAATAATTAGAATGTACAGGCTGACGGTACGCATGTATATACGGGAGAATTTAGCAGAACTTCTGACAGCTTCTATAACTTAAATAAACGCAACTATTTTAGCCACAGATTTCTATAATTTACCGTAATACACATAAATTTGTGCTTGTTTTTAAGTTTATTACAATCAATATATCGGATACTGATTATTTTACTCGTTACAGGAAGGTTTTACAATATCTTTTTCAATTATTCTCTTTCGCTTGGACATTGTGTATATAAATTGTTATCAACAACGACCGACATGTACCTTTGTTACTAGCTGTTTCGCCGTTCGGTGGTGGCGCATCGCCTCGCTGTTGCTGCTGCCGTGCCTGGCGTACCTTCATAATTCGCATACGTAGGAACTCAATTTTGGCGCGAGAATCGTCTAGCATTTGTTGAGCCTCCTGTAGCAGTTTTTTGTCACGATGGCCGCTCGTTAAGCTCTGTATCATATTTTCAGCACCCTGCTTGACCTGTTGAGAAACATAAAGTAAAAAGGATATTCTATATATACTATCTCAATAAAATTTCATTATAGCATCGAAACCAACATTTTATTTTCTCCTCGATCTGATCCAATTGTACTACACAAAAAATTCAATTATTTCGTTAAAGAAAGAGAAAGGAGGAGAAAGGTATATAATTGCAGACAATTAACGCTTCTACATTAACAAGTAATAACTGCAAATGTAAAGAGAGTTCGACGCGTCACTCTAATTACTTCAAATCCCCGCGTGATGTAACGAGAGATTATTTTTAGTAGGAGAAAAACTGTGAGCGACTCACTGCGCTGACTCACGCGAGGCATACAAGAAAAGTGAAAGAGAACTACCAAAGTTCTGCGTAATCATTCGGGAAACATTAAATACAACGATTCTGTGAGAATTATATTTTAAATATATATTATCAAGAAAAAAAAATATATATATACACATACATACATATACATATACATAAATTATTACTAAAGAAATATCCGTTATCAAGTTATCGGAATTCTCCGATATCGGAATTGTTATTAAAAATTTTGATAACATGTTCGATACTGCACGATGTTCACTGATATCAAAATTATCTGTTCGTGATTTTAAAATGTACAAAATTCAATAGTACCTCCTCATCAAACAGATCCTACCTTCAGTTCGATATTAAGCTGCTTCTCCAAGGACAGGAGTCGAAGATCCGTGAATAGACCTTCTTGACTCGGCGACGAAGACCCCATTGGTGATAGAGGCGTGTCTGAAACAAAAATAGACGTTCACGAAATGAAAGAATCCGATATGACCCAATAATGTATCGGCGATATCGATATTGAACGGCGAACGAGATATCTCGCGACAAAATAAAGCGCTGTAAAAAGATGTATAAAGTGCATCGTTAAAAAAAAAAGATTTTTTTTTACTAATATCTGCCTGGCAATTAGTACTACCTTAGATATTGTGACTCAATTCTATGAAAATTTATATTTAATAAATGGATTTGTTATCCTCCTTTAATTGTTAGAACTTTTAATCTAGGAATTGTGACTAAGCCTTTCCTCTCATGATTTCCTATCATGACTATCATGAATATTTTTATATACGCAAGACTTCAAAATGTTTCATTGACTGAAGATGACCGAAACGTTTGACTTATATTTCTTTTAATTATTAACTATTGTTATTTATCGTGAGAATTTTTGCCCATAATAAATCCCTATTATCACTTCTTTAATTTTAATCTGTTTGAATTATATCGATACTTTTATTTAAAAAAATATTCTTTTTTTCTAAACATTCCACGTGCGAGTCCACGTCCGCAAATTTCTTCCAACTTTCTTTAGTCCGTGGGTGCCTTCCTTCGTGTCTGGATTTTCCATATTAACATAAGCATCTCACACGTGCGCGTTTTTTTCTCATATCTGGCAATCTCCGTGGTTTGACAAGCGAGATCCTACTTTCCAGTGCTGACATGCTGAAAACGCCCTGACTCCCACGTATTCAAGCCGAGTACACGGCAGGGAGTGTAAAAAGAAATGTGATGTCCCGCTTTGTTTTAGGAACGTGCCGTTATGAATTTCCTATCGCTTCCTTTTCATCGCGTTCACTCGGCCTGTCCATCATATGTCTTCGAGATAGAAATGGGGATTATCCGACAATTGCGTCAGACTTGCTCTCTCGCAAAGCGGAATCGTTATGTACGCGAACGGGCCTCGCGATCATACTCATACGAATAGCAATAATATACACACCACGACGATGCAACATGACGATGTGTGTACGAATAAAATACCGCGTACATGTAACTCGTACCGGAACGGTGTGGGAAACAGCTTATAATTACGAGCGTTATTTCCGCGCGCCCGCCGGAACTTGCAACAATTACATTAATCAATGTAATCACATCGCATTATATCCTTCGTTATATTTCGTTATATTTTAACGACGGGGAGTCGCAAGTCTCTCGCCGTTATCTCGTTAATTATCTCCTTAGGGATATATAAATAATTGTTTACGTAATGTGAATCATTACATAAATATGTATACATATGTAATTATTAAATGTGTATAAATACACCTTCTTGAGATGCAAATTAATGGACTTTTCATGAATTTCACGAGGGGGATATGCCATCTCCCTCCCCACGGGAGAGATGTAAGTTCTCCAGACGGTTTTATTTCACTCCAGATAGCGCATCGCGCGATTTCAAGGCCAATCGTGCGATTTTCGTGAAGACGATTCACGGTTCGGTCGTTATTCGGCGGTGTGCATGTGTGTTATACGAGCGGCGCACGAATTTAGCTTGTTAGTGCTGTGCGAGTTAGTGGAGCACCCTTTCCTCCATATCGAAATATGCCTATTATGCACCCGTGCGCGGGAAGCCACCGTAAACACGTGCACGGTTCCACGGTTCCGCAATGCTCCCCCTCCCCCCCCCCCGCCGCGCGTGCACACAGACACATGCACTCACGCACGCACGCATGTACGTCGCGATAAACGACGCGTAGTGCCCGTTTCGATGGGAATGGACGAACGCGTTCGCACACCGTCTATGCGCACGAGTATGTCCGACGTATCCAAATAAGGCGATGCGAGGGAGCGAGGAGATACGCGTTTTTTTTCACACGATGCTTCAAATACGTCAAATATCATCGAAAATGTATGCTAATCGTCGGCTTAAAGCACGGAAAACGTACAAATGCCCAACCGGTCGGCAACAAGTCGAAAGTGCCAAGTGCTACAATATTTACAATGTTATTTATAACTCCTCCAACACGAGAGGATCGCAAATATCCTTAAAGCTTTGTGTAAATATGTGTTAAATTAGACGGAATTGAAAGAAAAACTTAGTTACACGGTAAAACATTATTTCTGACGCGCGCGCGCGCTATTTCGACACGCTTTTATATTTAAACAGCAGATAATACATTTCTTTTTACGAGCAGATACGGCAGATCGGGAAAGGGATCCAATCGGCAAGTGGATAAGATTTTACGGCTAATGCATTTTGTAATACAAGGAATTTAATTAATTCTCTGTGAGGTAGATTTTATCGATTCCCCGCCGACGACTCGACATCGACAGAGTCCTCTTCCTCCTCTCTCGGACAATCGCGAGATGGCCATTATTCTCGGCGAGATCGCGCGCGGGCAGAGATATATAACGAGAAAATCGAGACAGATGCGGGGAGCCGAGTCCCGTGCGAATGCAAACGCGCACCAGAGAGGCCTTTACAATGCGGCGAAAACGACCGCGGAGGCGGTGGCGGCATAAAAGAGTTTGCGGAAACAATGCGGCATCGAGAGAGCTCTCCGCGAAAACCGTGTCATTAGCGCAGCTCGGCCGAACACGTGCCCCATTATATTCCGCGCTTCCGCCCCTGTGCACGCCGCACGCGGAGACCCGGCGACAAAGGCTTTCCTTGTTTTTTTATACCGTCAACTGCACCCATCCACCGTGAGCGTCCCCCTCTTTCGCCCGCCCTCTCCTACCCCTTTCTCCTCTCGAACCGCCTTTTTCCCTCCCTTTTCGGTGTCTCCCTTTGCCGAGAACAAACCGAGAGATTATCGATGCACGATGCATTTGAGAGCAAAAAAGAAGGGGGGAGGGGAAACGGAAGGGTGGTGGTTGCGTCGAGCGCGCAAGGTGGCTGCGAGAGTCTCAGCCACTCTCTCGCCGGTTCAATGACTCGGGCGCGGCGCACGCAACCCTTTCGACGGGGAGAGTGCGTGCGTTGTCGAGGAGCGGATAATTGCTCTCTACCTTTTGCTCGCAACAAAAGGAGAAAAGGGCAGCGCAGCGGCGAGTACCGTGCGATGGTTATGCAAAGCGCAGAGGTGATACCCCCAACCAGGTGCTCCGTCTCGTGTACTTGCAATTAAATAAGAAAGCATTAAATGTCTTTCGAAAATCTCGAGAAATATCAGCCGGAGAATATCAGCAGCGAAGCTTCATTTTTAATTAAAAGAGGAAAAAAAGCCGCAGATTAGAAAATTCCAGTAATAATCCAGAAATAGAAATGTAAATTATATATAAGTAACGTCTCGGTAATTATATGTACAATTGCAGTAACACCGTTGCGCGATGGACGCGTGCTAATTTTATTTTCTCTCCGTCTCATTCATAACTCCGCTCGCGTCAAAGCTGTTTCGTCCACGGCATGAGTTAGCGATACGTTCATAAAGCGTGAACGCGCATCGGGGAGGTAGAGGTCTTGCGCGGCTCGTTAATACATGTAAGGAAACGATTGTTCGTGCGCGATGATCGTCGGCAACGTTCCTATTACAGCATTGATTAAAATAATTATCGTAGGTCCGCGAGAGGCGAGAGCGCGAGGCGCTTTATTTATACATAAGCCAGCATCGACATCAACGTATGCGCTCCTGGCATCTCGTGTCGTGTAATAAACGCTTGCGTCAAGTGGATGCAACGCGATCCCTGTGAAATTCCCATGGCTAAAATATTTCTTTCTGTCTCAAGAGAGTTTCCAGAGAAGGAGAAACGTCACGAGAGTTTTATTAAAGACATGTCATACAACTCCAACTAATCTCAATTAAAAGTCGTTATCAACTTTCATTTCATAAAAATCTGATAAAAAGCTGATATTCCATATCTTCGGGTTTTTATTTTACGTTTAATTATGTCGGAAACTTCTTGGAAACATATCACGAGTCTTAGAAACTCCTGGGAGAAGAACTGAAGAAACTTTAATTACATCAAAATTGTGAAAATATACTATTAACTTTGCGGAAATCATAAAGTAATCATAAAGTAGTCAGATATATTGCTTCTTAAGATTCGAGTTATGTAATTGCGATATTTATTGAAAACTGATGAATATTTTTCTCTCTTCTTTTTTGCACAATAATCGAAGACATCCTCGGTGGCAATTATATTACAAGATAGTGTACAATGTAGGTAAAACGCAAGATTCAACACCTTGTAATGTCTCTTTAAAAGAATAAATTCGTTTTGATGCCCAAGTAACCTTTGGTGCGGCAGCACAGTTTTTTATCGCGTATCGAGCAAATTTTGCCATAAATATACCTAAGGCGCTGATTAGCATAAACGGCAAAAGCGTACCGAGAAATTAGCATATGCTTCGAAAAACCTACGGCGAGTAACCCCGGGCGTTCGGCAAAGTAGCAGTTAAGTTATTAGCATAGAGCCACCGGTTGGTTATAGCGATCGAGAAAATCGCGGGACCGGTCCGATAGAAAGTGCAGTGTTAAAAAAGCAATAATGTGGCGGCAATTTATGCCAGCGAAAATCACTTAAAATCAGGTTCGAGTAATAACAACACTAATAGAGATGATCTGTAAGAAAATTCTCAAAAAGAATTCTTGAAAATAATTTATCGAAAATATTTTCTGGTAATAAAGTCTTCAGTAAAATATTGTTCTTGAGAATATTACGAGAATATTCGTCGAGTAAAATTACTTAATCAAGAAATCTTTGCTTCTTTTTATCCTGACTAATCAATCAAATGTCACTCTCCGATGATAATAAGCTTTATAAATGCAACTTTAATATACCATGCATAATAGCGTTGTTAATCATTGATTGATGTCCGTATTATTTCTTCAGAATTATTTTATTTCTCGTTTTAATAATACTTTTAATAAATTATTAGAAATATAATTCATTAATTATAGTTAGAATTATAGTTCATTAATTTAACATTTCTATATATTTCAATAGTTAATCCCTAATTTTGGATATTTTAAACTTTTATTCAAACTACCCAGAATTCCTATTTA